TTGGTTAGTTTGTGGGTCCGAACGAACCGATGTTAATAGCGAACCCAACTCAACCCAATCCAATCCTACAATTTTCAGAACAAAATTGAAATTGGGGAAGGGGGTCGATTTTGGGGACTTTTGGCTACAAAATTCACTGCGTCGCCAAAAGACAAGAATAAAAATTGGGTAGGTGAAATCCCGCCTGACTTTTGGCGATCTCTATATTCGTCGCCAAAAGCCTTCTTCTGGCCATCCAAATTCCGTTAGGCAACGAACTAAGGATTCATCTCCGAAAGTGTGAACTTTCGGCGACGAACTTTGCTGAAAGTGGGGACTTTCGGCGACGAAATTGACGTTCATCGTCGAAAGTGTGGACTTTCAGCGACAAACATCAATTTCGTCACCAAAAGTCCCCTTCGGCAACAAACTTGCTTTGCGTCGCCATAGGTCTCGTCGCCAAAACTTTAAATTCTTGCGATGTGAATTTTCCTCTTTCTCTGACGAATGTCCTCAATGAGGTCTCGTTCGTCTTCTTAGCCTGGGGGTTAAAATTTTCCTCTATCTTCGACTAAGTCCTCAATGAGGTCATTTTGTCAGCTAAGTCGTTAGAGGTTCTAAATTTTCGTATACCTAATCTCCTTGGTCAGCTTGGCATAAAGGTTCTAAACTTTCATCTATCTCTAACCAAGTCATTGATCTTGGTCAACTTGGCATAAAGGTTCTAAACTTTCATCTATCTCTAACCAAGTCATTGATCTTTACCTTGCTTGAATTGATGGTTCTAAACTTTCTTGGGCTGCGACCAAGTCCTAGATAAGGTATCTTTGGTCGGCCTAAGGGCATAACTTGTTTGCAATTTTTGGCTTTTATTCACTTGGTGGCCCCCACTCGTCCACATTTCAATTTTGTTTCTACAATGTGGTGGAGTTCAACCACTCTTTCATTATTGGTGCTGCAACAACGAAATTTTGAAGTTAGAGCCTCAATGATATTATCGGTACACCACTGCCCAATCTACTCGAAATATCTAAAGTTGCCTTGTCTTGGTTCTCTTTCTAAATGCTTGGTTCTCTTTTTAAATGCTTTTGAGTTAGGTTGGACACTTTAAAGAAATTTTGTTGGTCACCTCTTGAGGTGGGTCTTAACTTGATTCTGGTGTCTCAATGAGCCTTGAACTATTGAGGAAGCTACACAAGTTGGTCTCATCTTGTTGAGAAAGCTATACAAGTGTCAAGCTATGCAAGTTAACCCTTACGGAGGTCCTAATCTAGAATAGTTCAAGTACCGTCACAAGGCTTGACTAGAACTTGTCCTCCACTAGGTTACTAATTAAGGTTGTACCTTGGACGGGCTTTCTAGCAACTTAAATGAGGTTATGGTTCATGACCTGAAGTTGCTCCTCTAGGACTGTGAACTTGCTTGTCCTACTGCATTTCAAAAGTATTTGAGTCACTGTCGTCTCGTTTTTAGTAGGTCCTGTTTGTCACGTCAAGTGAGATTTCTTGGAGGAACGTTTATATCCTCCTACCTTTCCTTTTCCTTAAAACGGTCGGTTTGTGTGCAAATTGGGTTTAAGCACTAGCTACTTATGTCTCTCCCCACATAAACAATGTCAATGTTGATGTGCAGAATCTGGCCGATTCAAGTTGAAATACGATAAGCTCTGAATGAACATCTACATACACAACGAATTCTACCACATTTGTGTGGTGCCAAGCTCAATACATTATGATGCTCAAGTCAGACGATAAGTTCAATTGACTGTAGCAACAAATAGAGTTGTGTGATGTACCTCATACATGAGATGTCTCCTATTTGTAAAAGTCGTTTCCTTAGGTCTGAAGCTATTTGAACTGTCTATGATTTGATTTTTAACGATATCTTACTGACTCTCTTAGATTCATAGAGGACTGATGATTGGACTAGATTTTGGTAATGCATCCATGACTATATTTATAATGGTGTTTTAGAACATCAAAGTCTCTTAGCTGTGGAGAAAACTTAGCCACCTCGACCTTGGAGCCTTGGTTGTCGATTTGGCTCAATCACCTCGATTTCTTGAAGTCGGTGTGTTTCACTTCGAGCCTTCTTTTAGTTGAATCGGGCATGGTAAATTCACCCATATCCGAATCAACCAACTATTTTTAGTTTTATACTTGAAAGGAAATTGCTAAATTCCATCAATTTCATCATTTTGTTCAATTTTGACTTGCCATGTGCGACGAAAATAATAATCAAAAGAGGGGAAAATATTCTAACGAAAAAAAAAACTCACATAGTACCATCAATTTCATTCCAAAAAAAAAACCCTCAATTTCAATCTTAATTTATTAAGGAGAAGAACGTGGCAAAGGCATGTGTTTTTGGCAAAAAGGTAAAGTCAACTAACAATAATTAAGAAGCTTTGATCTGTTTTTGGTGGTTTGATTAATCTAATATTTAGCCATCTCGTCGTATTAACACCTTAATATATACTTATAGCAATGCTACACTAATTCATTCACTCACCTACTTTTAGGTATACCCTATGCCCCCATCATTTTCGTTTCCTCTCCATGCCCTTTGCATATAAATCAAGTAAATAAGTTGCCTAACTTAAATAAGAAATAAATGTGTATATTATCACACAAACAATAAAGATCAATTATAAAAATTAACAAATAGAACCAATATTGAAGAAATGAAAAAAAAAAAAAATCTAATAATATAGCACTTCTTCATTCCAAAATTTTACCAAACAATACTACTTGATAATTTTCAATAATTGATAACTCTATAATTGGATGAATGTAATAATAATAAAAAAAATAAAGAAAATATATAAATATATATGGGTGTCTTGATGTTAAATCCTAATCCATTTTTTCTTCTACATATTTGTCAAACAATTTCCATTCCATTCTCGTTTATGCTAATCTTTGATCTTTCTCAAAAATAAATGTTTAAATATTATTTTAGTCCATATACTATACTTCATTTTGATCTAAAATATTCATTTTGATTCTTATACTTTCAACTTTGATTCATTTTAGTTTCAAAATTTCCGTTTCGATACTTATAATTTTAAAAACTGAACAATTTCATCATTGTTTGTAACATTTGAACATAAATTTTATATACAATAAAAATTTTTAACATAAATTTATAATTAGATCTTAAGAAATCTAGCGAATAAACCTCATGCAACAATTAAGAACAAAAGAAATATGAAATAAAAATAAAAGTAAAAATAAAAATATCGAATAAAAATAAATATTTTATAAGTACATGTGCTAAAATTAACTAAAAGTTTTCTGAAAACAAAAATAGTTTTTAAACCTAAAATTAAAAAATATATATATATCCGAACCTAGGCTGGATTAAAATCACATCTGAAGGGCAGTTTGGTCTTTCCACGTAAGTCAAATCCAAAACAAACAAGATAGCCTCTCCCGAGTCATTTCTTCCTCCATCACGTCTCTCTCTCAATCATCTCTCTTTCTTTGGCATTTTTTGATCAGTTCCATATTTTATTGGTCATCCCTCTCCCAAAAAGCCAACCAATCCCAATAATAAATCACAAAAACCCATCAAAATTCAATAAAAAAAATTTCTTCTTTTGGGTATCGCTTGATCTTTGGATCCAAGAAAACGAACTACTAAACCAAACCCACTTCAAAAATAACTCTCTTCCTTCGCCTCTACGCATCACAAAACCCCAAAAAAAAAAAATAAAAAAAAAAAAAATCCAAACTTTATCTTATCCACCAACACCCTCTTCTCCATCTTATGAACAATATTTGATTGTTGATCATATGATGGTGGAGATTTCAAGAACAACAAAAGGGTTCTTGAATCATAGAAAAGGGAAGAGCTTTTTCTTCAGATATTTCAAATTCCTTCTCTGGATTTCTCTCTCCTTCTATTTCTTGGCCTCCTTTCTCGTGACCCATAATCCCAATTTGGGTGTCTCTAATCTCAACGCCCTCCCCTCCTCCAAAGCTCTCGCTGAAAAATCCGCCGTCGATTTCAAACTCTTCGTGTACGATTTGCCGCCGGAGTTCAACGCCGATTGGCTTTCCGACGGCCGCTGCGGCCGTCAGTTGTTCGCTTCCGAGGTGGCCATTCATAGGGCCCTTTTGACCAGCCACGTCAGAACTTTAGACCCCTTTGAGGCCAATTTCTTCTTCCTTCCCGTTTATGTCTCGTGCAATTTCAGCTCCGTTAATGGGTTTCCGGTTATTGCACACGCACGCTCTCTCCTGGCCTCCGCCGTCCACGTCATCTCCGGCCAGTACCCGTTTTGGAATCGCAGCGGTGGCTCCGACCACGTCTTCGTCGCCTCCCATGACTACGGTGCTTGCTTCCATGCCATGGTAAAACCAAGAATAAGAGAAGATGCTGGTTGAAATATCTCTATATGAATTAAATTTATTCCATCATTTGCTTTTCGATTCTTTAGTTGAAAGGTGGTTTTTCATCTTATTTGGATTAAAAAATTAAAATTTTAAGATGAATTTTGCAAGATTTTGTTATGTTATGAAAAAAAAATGTTAGAAAGTAAGATTTTCTTTTCTTGTTTTTACCAAATTTTTGTTAGGAGGACGTGGCTATGGCGAATGGAATACCGCAATTCTTGAAGAACTCGATTATTTTACAGACGTTTGGAGTCAAATATAATCACACATGTCAGGATGTTGAGAACGTTGTCATACCACCGTATGTTTCGCCGGAATTCGTGGAAGCCGCCGCCGTTGACGGCAGCCGGAGAGACATCTTCGCGTTTTTCCGGGGAAAAATGGAGGTCAACCCCAAGAACGTCAGCGGCCGATTCTACGGCAAGTAAGAATAATTAATTAATTAATTAACGAAGTCTTTACTTTTATTATCTGGGTTTTATTTTATTATTTTTTTTTTGGGTGGCGGCTTTGAATTGTTTTTCAGGCGGGTTCGGACGGCGATTTTGAAGAAATTCGGCCGCGACCGGCGGTTTTACCTCAAGAGGCGGAGGTTCGCCGGTTACCGGTCAGAGATAGCGCGGTCGGTTTTCTGTTTGTGCCCTCTAGGGTGGGCCCCGTGGAGTCCTAGGTTGGTTGAGTCGGTCGCACTCGGTTGCGTGCCGGTCATCATAGCCGACGGCATCCGGTTGCCGTTTCCCGACGCCGTGGACTGGCCGGGTATATCGTTGACGGTGGTGGAGAGAGACGTCGGGAAATTGGGGAGAATTCTCGAACGCGTGGCGGCGACCAATCTCTCCGCCATCCAAAACAACCTCTGGAACCCCAAAAATCGGCGGGCCCTACTGTTCAACAACCCTATCCAACTGCACGACGCCACGTGGCAGATTCTTACAGCCCTGGAGAAGAAGTTGGACAGGTCGTTCAGGTGTTCGGGGGTTTTAAGCCAACAAGAGGACGACACGTAGGATAGAGACGGAAAGAATATGCCAGCTGGATTTTAGAAAAATGTTTTTGTTGCACGGGGGAGGGGTGGAGGATTTTGATTGGGCGGCGGGTGACACGTGGCAACTCGTAAAATCTGGTTGACTCAGTTAGGTTACAGAAATAGTTAGTTAAAAATTAAAAGGAGATAGTGACTTCCAACCCCTACGGAAAAATCACAATTTTGATCAATGTAAATGTTTGTATAAAGTCCTAAGAAAAAAATGGTCCTTTTTCTTTTTATTTTTTTATTTTTTTATTTAATGTTGCAAGTGGGAGAGATATTTTTTGTAATTAAACTATTAAGAGTTTTTTTATAAAAAGAGAGAGAGAGAGAGAAGGGAATATATAATAGGAATTCAGGACAATTTTTTTTAATTTATTTTTCCATTTTATAATTAAAGAAGGTGTTAATTTACGTTTGAGTTGAATTTCAAAGAGTTTCTCCTCCACTTTGGTTGTTAATTGGTGAATAATTTTATTAGTGATATTGGATTGCTTAACTATGGTTAGATGTAATTGTTTGTGTTAGTTATTATTATTATTTTTTTAGTTATTAATTAGTTAACTAAGTATTTATATATGAGAAGAGATTTATTCATTTGAGATGAATAATTTTTTTTTTAAATTATCTTCCTTTCCTATCATGTAATATGGTATCAGAGCACGAACTTTCCGTTTCTCTAATATGTCATGTACTTCATAATAGTTCAAGCCTTGCATCAATTTCCTTTGAAATAGAATCAATAATCTAAGAATTAATTAATCCAAATTGTTGTTACACTTTCAAGTAGCCAAAAGATTGGCCTCGGTGTTTCTTTTGATTGTTCTATAAACAAAATTTACATTATTTTCTGTTGAGTAACAAGAACTGTGGCTGGTTGAAAGGTGAAGAAGAAAGGGATCATTTGGCTCTTGAATTTACCTATTAATTTTACTTCAAAAAATTATAAGGTGAAGTCGAGAAAAAAAAAGGGTTGGTTTGAATATATATTCATAAATGCAAATTTGTGTGTATTCATTAATAAAACTGTCAAGACTTCAAGTAGTTTAATATTTCATTTTCTAGAAAAGTTGACAAAATTGAGAAACCAACATCATAACTAGGCAATCAAAATTGGTTGAATCAAATAAACCAACCAAATGAATTGGTCGAATATTCATTGATCAAAACCGAATAACTCAACTTAAATTTGATCAATCTAGTCTATTGTTTAATTTTAATTTTTGATTAATTTTTTTCTTAGAAAAAATGTTAATTTTCTACCGACAAATTTGAAAAGGTTAGATAATGTTTACGTTTGTTGGAGGAGTTGACCAATACATGGAGGATAGAGAATGGACGTACGATGGTTAACGTCTTCCCTCACCTATTGAAGAAACAACCTTCCATACTTAACCAAATAGTGGACAGGAAGACTCCTAAATAGGTTGAAGGTCTTCCTACCCAGATCATGCGTGCCCGACAAATCGACCTTCGTCTTGACATATCTACTTTTAGTGGATACATTAACCTATAAATAGAACACTTTACTCCCCATGTATCACATTCTAGCTCAGTCTCTATTGCAAGGTAAACTTAAATCAACTTGAGCGTCGGAGTGTTTGTTTCCTTGTGTAGATCCTTCCTCTGCAAACAACATCCAAGTTCTCTAAGCTTACCTTGACCAAGTTGACCTTGATCTATTTCGCAACAAGTTAAATTTTCAATTTCATGAAATTAACACAATAAGTCATCAATCACCAACAAAATACAAAGCGAAAGAACCAAGTCAAAAACATAACAAAGGATCGATACACAAAATCAAGTATGTTCAAGTGTTTTTCTCTTTTCTAATAAAACGTGTTTGTCTTTTGAAAACAAAAGTGAAGCTGAGGAATCTATTTCTAATATCACTTGCAATGTAATAAAAATGTCAAAGTCTCAATTTTATGGAAACGCTATAAATATTGATAAAATATCAATATCGATCAATGTTACTAAAAAACTTATAAAAATAAAAAAAATCATTTATTATATTTAAATCAACAAATTAACATTATACCCTCTTGAAATAATTAAATATTATGTTCACTTGTTTTTTTTTTAATATTTTGTCAGTTTTTCCACAATACTTTGAAAATGTTGATTTAATTTGTATGTTACTGTTCAAAATATATATTAATATTTTTATGGTTATTTGAATGAACCCAACAAATGATATTTTAAAAAGTAGGAATTATTATTTTAAATGAAAGAGGGATAAAAGCAAAAAGTGGCCAAAAAAAAAAAAGGAAAAAAAGAAAAGGGAAGGACATAAGGAAGAGCCAAAGAGGACAGTCTGTGAGGGAATAATTTAAATAGGCTCAGGGTACCCTACAGGCCATGTCCTACGTCTATTCCCATGGGCTGACGGCTACCCGACAAATCGGTCATCTTTCCACTTTCCACCTTCACGTTATTTTCCTTAAATTAGTTTTCCATGTCTCTCCAAAAGTTTGTTTCCAGTGCAACGGCTACTTTCCAGCTTCCACTCCCATTCATTTCTTTCATTTATTAATTTGATTTTGTTAGTACAACCAAGATAAGATTGGATTATTGAACTTCGGGACGAGTAGGGAAGAAACAAGATATCTAATGTCAAAGCGAGCATAGTTCAACGATAACCGATATATATCTCAAATTAAGAGGTTGTGAGTTAGATCTCTCATCTCATCCTCACATATTGTACTAAAAATAATACAAAATGTTTAACTGTTGAGCTATACGCTTATGTTAAAGCTTTATTTAATGCTCTTAGAACTAACAAAAAAAATAAATAAATATATATATATATATATATATATATATAAAAGATCATAAATTATTTGTAGATGTGACATATTTCATTAGCATAGGATTCTATTACTAATTTACATTATTAGTGTATCAGTAATCGACGACGTATTTACTAAATGATAGAAATCTATTTGTGAAGATAGATCTAAAAATTTTAGATGTCTATTAATAAAGATATCTATTAATAATGATGTGGGTAAAAAAGAAATTACGTAAAATGTCTAGTGCGAAATTTTTTAAAAAATTTTCATATTCGCGAAATCATAATCCTATCAATACCATTAAAATTTCCTTTCTCAAAAGGTAGAACATAATAATGAAACTTGAAAAATCATATAATCTAAAAAAATTAAGGTTGAATTAAAATTTGGTCACAGTTTGGAAATAGTTTTATTTTGGTCGTTGATTTTACAAGTTTCAATTTGATTCTTATAGTTTGGTTGGATCTTACATATTGTTTATAAATTATATCTTTTGCTCATTTGTAAGACCTATCTATTACTTTTTATTTTCTTATACTGTCTAAATTATAATACAATCAATTAAGATAGTTAGTCAAATATGCATGTCACGTTGAAAAGTGTTAATATAATGACGATAAGGATGACTTGTAAAGTTTGATGAGGCGAAATTTAAAAAAAAAAGCAAGACTAAATTGAAATTTTTTAGATTTCATACATCAAATTTTTAATTTAAATAAATGTAAGAAAACTTATTTATTTTCCTTCGTGCAAAAGAATAAGCAAACCATCACCACTACTTTCTTTATCAAAACTCAAATTATTATCTCCAATATAATATAATGTATGGAGATTGTAATCTTATAAATATAATTATAGGAATTTGTTTCCTACCTGGCAGATGTCCATCCATGCCGATGGGCCACTGCTACCCGACAAGTCGGTCATGTTCGGACTTGGGACATTATTTTTCTTAAATTATTTTCCTTTCAATTATAGATTTAATTATGTTTTCGCAAAAAATTTGAGCAAGCATCGAAGTCTCCGAGAGCACTTCAAAGGTCTTATCAATAATGAGATGATTTTATGGAGAGAAAATAATCTGAAAATTAAAATTTGCGTTCCACAGTTCTGAGTGTTTTGATATTTGTTTGAAAGAGGTGACTCCTGAGATCACGTACGAAGATCGTGTCTATTTAGTGGTTACCTTTTGAGATTTCAGACGAGAATTACGCCATGGGGTAGGAGATGCAATTGAGCAATTACTGTTTACGGGCCGAAGTATATAGTTTGGCAAAGACTGGTTGTTCGATACGCTCTATACGTCTAAAGCCGAACTATTGGATCTCTCCAACAGGTATATGTATGTGGAGCCAAACTATCGGTTAAATGATGAGATGTCCTTTGTTCGAATCCTTCGTCAATTTAGTTATTGAATTTTGATCTACATGTTTATTTAGTGCATAAATTTTAGGTTATTTTACCAGTTTAGTTCGTTAATGTATGATATTATCCGCTTTGGGGTATAATCCTCACGGTTTTGCTTGCAGTATCACCCAAAAGCCTACATTAATGTGGATGGTGTCCCTCACTTATATACCCACGATCTTCCTCTTATTTAACTAATGTGAGACTTTGGTTATATTCTCAACAATATTAAACATAAAATTGAATTTTGTGTTTAATAGAACCCTAAATTTTGAAATTTGTTTCTAATATGTTCGGGAATTTTAAAAAATTTCAAATAGATCATGGACCTATTAGACACAAAATTGACCGTTTAAAGACTTGTTGAATAATTTTAAATATTCAAGTATTTGTGAGACACATCTTAAAATTTACCGACTTATTATACACAAATAAGATATGAGAGTTAGTTAAGAGATAAAACTTGTAATTTAACTAAAATTTTAAAAAATTTTAACTACAGGCCAAAATTTTAAATTGTAAATCTGAAAAGTTATTGCTGCTAAATGGTGGTATTAACTAAATAATGACCTAACTAATTAGGAAAATATTGTTTGAATAGAGACAATTTGGTAGAAGCAAAGTGGACGTATTAGATAAAATAAAGTGAACTAGTTGCTGTTTCTTTCATAGGTAACTTGCATGCTTGTCGTAATCCATGCAAGTTTATTTCATTTCATTTAATGGCAATGTGTTTTAAATCTCGATATCGATGGAAATATTGATATCTTAATTAATACAAATGTCAATATATACATTTATGTCGATGGATATTTTTTAAAAAGTTATAAAAATAAAAAATCTAGAACAAATATTTAAATTAAGAAATAAATATTTCACTATTTTCAAATAAGTTCAAAATTATTTTTTTTAGTACAATAAGTTCAAAATTATTAATATTAATATTATGTTCATATTAGTGTTATCTTGTCGATTTTTTTTACGATACAATAAAAATGTTAATTCACTCCTCATGTCGATGAAGACTTGGACCTCGTAGACAGAGAAATTTTAATGGAAATGTCGACATATATTTTGTCTACCTTGTTTTACTACACGTGACACGTCATGCAAAATCAACAAACTTTGATCTAATAAGCGTGTGCCTCACATCATGGTTTATCACACGTTAACCGTACGTAGAAACTTCTTATAATCACAATTTAAATTTAAAAAATATAATTGA